TTAAAATGACCACATACATAAAGCCATCTGCTCTCTTAGATACTGATGTACATACCTATGCAGTGCTGTCATTTGAAATACATGGCTGACCTGCTGGAGAAACAGCTGGGTAGTGTTGATTTTCCAGACTTCCAAATACTCTTGCTGAACAGTAAAACAACCGGGGTGGGGGGTGGGGGGTGGCGGTGATTGACACTTTAAATGGAGCACGCTCAAATGGTACCTAGGCTTCAGAACTGAGACTGAGAATTCATTTCTCTTTCCAGTTTTGTTTTGCTGTCCTAAGCAAGGTTACCTAGCCTCGGAAACTAGGCTAGGAAAGTCTATGGGCATTGACTTATCTGTTAATTACTTCAGACTTAGCTCCCAGCCCATGGGAATAGCATTGTACTTTTACAGGAGCTAAGCCTCCTCTGTGTATCATGTTAAAGAAAGGCACGCATAGGGTCTGCCAGCTCAGGGCTGTACACAGTGACTCTATCTGTGTGGTACTAACAATTGTCTACTTGTGTTAAAATTTAACTCAACCAGATTCTCCACACCCAAGCATCTTCCAAACTGCTTACTGAGAAATTTAGCTGAGAAAAGAGGGAAACCAGAAGGCTTTGAATTCAAGTATACTCATATAAAATACTAAAGTTGCAGCAAACACAGGACATGTGCCATATTTCAGGTGATTATTGAAGGTAACACATAGTGTGAGGCAGTCGTGGCTATGATATGTAGGAAACATTGCTTTGTAAATCATGGAACCTGTTACCCCTGGTGTTAATAGATCATAACTCATCAGAACAGTGACCTGAATGAATCATGTGATATGACCATATGTTTAGAACAGGTCAGATGAATTGCACCCCAAGAATGTCTATTTCTCTGTCATTCATAGCACAGAGTGACCATAGATGTTCAATGGTGAGACGAATCACAACACAAGTAACTAAAATGTAGTGATACGAGGAGAAGGCCAATGCAATTACTATTTCCTGCTTAGATGATTAGTTCATATCTGGCCCAGGTCAAAATGACTTGGACACGTCTTGAATATTACAAACTAATTGCATTCCTCCTGCAGAAACGACGGCACAGGTGAGGCTCTACTGCCTAAGTACAGGCATCTTGTATGATTTTAGGCACTGTGATGCCCCCTTGGCCTCCATCTGTTACTCCAGAAGGTCATGAGTCTTCTATGTCTTCTACAAATCCTGGGTCATAGGAATCAGCCATAGAAGGTTGTCTTGGGTACCCTCAGGTGCCTTAAATGGCAGTAGGTATCTACATTTAACAGCTGAATGTCATCCACACAGTCAAACTTGGCACCCCAAAGGCATAATGAGCTTGGAAAGAAAATCATTGCCATGGCATGGTTCAGAGAAGCTGGTATTTCTGTGGGCACAGAATCACAAAAAGGTTGAGGAAGGGACCTCTGGACATCTACCCAACCCCCTGCTCAGAGCAGTGTCAGCTAAAGCAGGTTGCCCAGGACTGTATCCAGCTGGATTTAGAATATCTCTAAGCATGAAGACCCCACAGCCTCTCTGGGCATCTTGTCCCAGTGTTTGTCCACTCCCTCAGTAAAAACATTTGTTCTCACGTTAAAGTGGAAGTTCTTGTGTTTCAATTGGCACCCATTGCCTCTTCTCCTGTCACTGGGTATCACTGAGGAGAGTCTGGCTTCATGTTCTCTACTCCATCCCATTAGGTATTTGTACATATTGATATGGAAAGGAAGCAAAATAAAATGCTTTTGTCTGGTGCCATGAACTTCTGCTTGCCTTAGGGTACCGACAGAACAGCATCCACAGCATTTGCAGGGCCAAAGCTTAAACCGAGATTGCCAAACAAGGAAAGATCTGTACTGTTTATTTACCATTTTACATCTAAATGACTTAAACTCTTGTGCAAGAGGGTGGTTTGGTGTTTTTAATGCAAAGATGGTTGCAAATTACAAGGACTAGTCAGGGCAAAATACTTTGGTACCTGACTGCAATTTATTTTTCAATAGGAAATTAAGGTGGAGTCAGATACCCAAAAGCCTTTCAAGAACCATGATCAGATTCTACTTAAAAATTTGAAACATGATTGTAAAGTCCTCTGAAAAAAATTATTATGCAGTTAGAACAGGTAGCAGTACTTCTAAAACAGAAATTAGTCTTAGTCCTAGGTTCAATACTAGAGTCAGCATACAAAACCCCCTAAATATTGTGTAAACTTGATCTTGGCATGTACCTAGAACATGACTGCTTTCCTTGAACTGAATATATGTTAGATACACAAAAGCAAGGTGAAACCAACATATAGGATGCTTTCTTTCAAATAGTATTTATCTTATATTCATTTCTACAGCTGCAAAATCTAGTTACTGGTCAGTTGAAAAAGCTTTCTGCAACAGCGGCCTGTTGCAAATCATCTTTTCTCTGTCATTAAATAAAGTATAGCTATGGAATACATATTCCAGGACATTCTGGAATATGTATTCTATAGCTGCATTGATATATATTTCCAAAATGCTTTTGTGAGCATCTACATTTTAACCAGTTACCATAAACGAAGAATATGAAAAAAGTATTTTAGAATCTTGTTGAGAACTGAGTAATTTTCTTTTTTTCCCTAC